GACTGAACCGGGACATTAAGTTACTTTTAAAACACCCTGGAAACCTGACTTTTGGATTGATACATTTGTTTCCAAAAGAAGTTGTTACGGCGGCGAAAGTGCTGAAGGAAAGTTCACTCCCCTTCCTTACGGAGAAAGCAAATGAGCACAGAAAAACCTGCTTCTTTAAGGTAAAAACAAGCTCTTTGTTATAAGTGGGAAGGAGAGGACTAAAAAAAAAAAATCTTTAAAAATTTGTTGGAGGAGACACTTTGAAGATTATAAGACCAACAACTAACTGTAATACGGCTTTAAAATATATTTGGGATTTTGCCCCAGGAGGAAAAGTTGCAAAGAGAAGAAGAGGAAATAATTTCTGTCTGTTTGGATTGTTTGATAACTTTGACATTTGCAAATTACTTTAAGATTAAAAACATCTGGGTTGTTCTTAAAAATTTACAATGGCACCATCTGTGGATCAACTAAAAATGGAATATGAAAAATTAAAAGAAAGAGAACCAAATGGCAAGGATTCATTGGGAGCTGTCTTCCACTTTTTAGAAATGGCGGTTTCTACGTACCAGCAAATACTTGAGGAAGAAGGAGAAGGAGAAGAAGAAGAAGAAAAGGAAGCCATTTTTAATGGATAAAAAAGTTCGATTAAGAAAGTTTTGTACCTTATGATTCTTGACAAATGTATCTTTTCTTTTTATGTACACTGAAAGCATATGCACCAAGACAAATTCCTTGTGTGTCTAATCACACTTGGCCAATTAAGAGTTCATTTGTTAATTTTCCCTTGTTATTTACAGACAGCTCAGATACCACCAGTGTATTTGCGTAATTAAGAATTTGCTCCACTATGCATTTCTTTTGTCTCATTTAAATTAAAACGCATTGGTTACTTGATTAATATTCATCTTTTTTTCCCCTGGATTACCATTGCCTCTAATTTTCCAAAAAGAGACATTAAGATGATTGAACTAAAATTCCTTATCTCCCACATGTGTCCTTGTTTCTTTTTTTCTTCTTGAAAAGAGTGTCTTCACAAGATCTTCTTTTGAATGGGAAGTAATCAGGTTGATCCAGAATCAATAAAGACACAAAGTACTGGAAATTTAGACTGTTGGTTGCTTTTTTTGAATTTTTCTTCAGTGACTGGTGGAGACTTGTTTTAGAAAAGAAGGAAAGATTGCCCCCAAAAAGAGAGAAAGGAACTGTAAATTATAAACGCCTTCAACTCCTTCAGAAATTAATACTTTACTAATAAGATGGTATTTTATTGGCTTTTTATCTACACTGTTCTTTAAATTGTACTATGTCTTCATATTTTTCTAGTCTCAGTCTTCAATATATCTGTTTGTTACTGATCTCCATATTTATTTTATCTTAAGTCCTATATCTCCCCATGGTCATTCCCTGTAGAAATATACTTCAGAATTCAAAGTATCTTTTAATATATTGTTATCTTAACAACAGATTAAAAGCTTTCCATTTCTTCTCTGTCAGAGTATTGGCTGTTTCTTTGCTGCTTCTCCTTGTGTGTTCCCAGCTGGGCTTCTTGACTCTTTTCTCTTACAAAACCTGGCTCCGGTTGAGGAAACAGTAGAATAACTTTGCCAGCTCGGAGGGAAGGAAAAACCAGTTTGCACACCGCTTTTCTAGTTTGTCTCTTTTCTTCTACTCTTGGGCTTGGAATTTGCCTATTCAGCCTGTTCTTCTTCATGAGACCTATGGCTGCAGAGAGCTCCAGGCAGACATCTTGTTCCCCTTTCCTCCTCCTCCTCCCCACTTGTCCAATGCTGCTCTTTGATTGGCAGCTGGATCATCCTGATACCGTGCTATGTGTGTTTGTGTGTGTGTCTGCCTTATAATCAGTTCAGTCCATCTGTTCTTCCACAATGCCACATTGGTTACCTGTCAGACCTTTGACAAGTTACATCTTTGACATTTAAGTTCTCAATTAAGTACCGGGGAGAAAACCGGCATTCTATTTTTTTCCAGTAAACTAGATTTTATACCCTCTTTGATAATCAAAGCATTACTCCCTACAGTGCCATATTGCCTCTTAACCTGAATCTTACTCAAATTCATCCTTTTTTAGATTGGATTGCTCTATGCATAGTACAGTTATGACCAATTCACGTCATGGTTATTTAGATTCTAAATCTTCCGATAATCCACTAAGTCTTGGTCAACCTTATTAAAAGAGATCCCACTGTGTCCTGCTGGCACCAGATATCTCAAGTCCTTTGTGTATCAATGTGATCAACAACTCTGTGTGTCCACGAAGCCAAAAACTCTTTTACCTCTAGATATTGAATGCTTTTTTGCAGTTTATCCATTGTTTTATCATCTCATCTCATCTTTGCTGCAAACAACAGATTCTTAGCATGCATTCCCAAAATATGTTGTAAGCCAGAAGGCTACATATTAAAATTATTTTCTTTTTTCTATAGCTTGTATACAGCAGTGACGATATTCACTGCTTGCCTCTGTTCTTCCAGATTACTCTATTCTCACAATATTTAACTTTTCATCTGTAACTAGATGAACATCATCAACAGCAACTCCCCCACCTCACCTCCTTGTTCCACCCCAATCTGGGTCAGCACAGAGATCAAAGAAACATCACAGTACCTCACCTTTTTGTCCTCTGTAGACCGTAGATGAATATTTCTCAATCTGGGCCACTATAAGATGTGTGGACATGCTAGCTGGGGAATTCTAGGAGTTAAAGTCCACAGATCTTAAAATTGCTAGTAGATTACAGTATCTTATATATAGTGTGAACTGGGAGCCTAGTGTCCTGCAGATTTTTTGTATGCATCTGGCAGATAAAATCATTCAGATCTATTCTCAGTTGGATGCCAGACATGAAACAAGTCCCGTGGAGATGCCCAGGGAGTGAACCTATTTGGTTATCTGGAAACAGTTTGACCCTATTGGACCTGAAAAAGTGGATGTGGTCCTTCAGATTGTAAATGCCACCAGATATGAACTAGATCTATACCCTCCTAATTGTCAAGACATTGGGTGAAAGTCTATGAAGATTCTCAATCATTCAGGTCATAGTTGTTCCACAGGTGTTTTTTTCCAAATGGCAACTGGACTTCCTTGATTTTTTTCTTTGAAAACATTCTGCTTCTCATCCAAGAAGCTTCTGCTGTTGTTTTGACAATTAGGTTGTAAGTCATGAGTCCTTGTACATTCCTTCCTCTCTCCTTGCCCTAAATTTATTGGAGGCAATCTGCTATTCACCCTAACAGAACTGAATAAACTTATTGGATGAGAAGCAAAACATTTTTAAAGGAAAAAAAACCAAGAAAATCCAGTTGCCGCCTGGAATAAAGCACCTTTGGGACACGATATGTAGGTGAATCTGAGCAATAATGAATTCATCCTTGAGGGAGGGAGCATTTCAACTTTGTTTAGAGAAGCTAGTGCACTTCTCCACAAAAAAAACATTGCTGGACCTTGACATTCTGGACAACTTTCAACTAGTTCCTCACATTTTCTTTTTAGGGAAAGTAGTTGAGAAGTTGGTGGCACCACAACTCTATAACTTCAGAGGGTACTGAATGAAATGGATTGTCTGGACTTCTTTCAATCAAGTTTCAGGCCTGGATGTGGGACATAAATACCATTTTTAAAGATTATCTTTGGTGAGACCAGGATGGTGATACTGCATTCATTTTTGTTCTTCTCGATCTCTTGGTAGCTTCTGATACCATTGATCTTTTCAATACCATATCCATTAGGGCTGAGGGCTACCGTTTTGTGCTGCTCCCTATCAGTGTTGATAGGAAGCAAGAGGTCTCCTTTTTTGTGGGTTGTCACAGCGCTCTGGGCTCTTTCAACATCTACATGGAGTCACTAAGTGGGATCATCTGCCATTATGGAATGGTATATCACCAGTATGCTACCCAGGTATACATTTCCATCCTGGGTGAACTAAGTTATGCAATGTACGTTCTTGAGGCCTGAGACAACTTGAGGTTGTGTGGGTTGCATGGGGAACAATGGGTTTCAGCTGAACCCTGGCAAGATGTAGTGGCTGTGGGTAGAGGGCTCCTCTGTATGGGCATTTAGCATCTTTGGCCTTGGATGGGGTTGCAGTATCCTAGACAGACCTGGTGCCTAATCTGAGGAATCTCCTGGACTCACAACTCCTGCTTGAGTTGGCAGGCCTGGCTAGGAGGATCTTTGCTCAACTTTGTGTTGTGCACCAGTTACATCCTTTCCTGCCTAGGGAGGATCTCCACTCGGATATTCATTCCCTGGTCGTCTCTCATCTGGATCATTGCAATGCGCTCTACATGGGGTATCACGGAAGAGTATCCAGAAGCGTCAGCTGAGGAAGAACGTGGCTACGCCAGCAATTCTGGATGCCCCAAGGATGCACATGTAACAGCTTTTATTAGCACAGGTAGTGCTTGACTTACAACCACAACTGAGCCCAATATTTCTGTTGCTAAGTGAGACATTTGTTAAGTGAATTTTGTCCCATTTTATGACCTTCCTTGCCACATTTGTTAAGTGGATCACTGCAGCTATTAAATTAGTAACCTGGTTGCTAAGTGAATCTGGTTTCCTCATTGACTTGGCTTGTCAGAAGCTTGCAAAAGGTGATCCCATGACCCCCTGGGACACTGCAACCGTCATAAATACAAGTCAGTTGCCAAACATCTCAATTTTGATCACACGGTCATGGAGGATGCAGCAATGGCTGTAAGTGTGTGCAAAGCGGTCATAAGTCATTTTTTTCAGTGCTGTTGCATCTGTGAACAGTCACTCAATGAACTGTTGTAAGTCGAGGACTACCTGCATATTGTATCTTTGATATGTTTTTCTATGTTTATTTATTTATTAAATTTATATGCTGCCCATCTCACTCCCAAAAGCAATGAGATAGGCAGTAAATAAATACGACTTATTTATCAACCAGATTGAAACCAAAGTACGATCATCATGCTGGCATTTTATTATTAAAGTACTTCTGCTTTGCACTTTATTTTCAGCAAACAAGATTTATTCTGCTCAATGCAAAAGTCACGGATGGTGAAAATGTACCGGTAAGTAAAGTGATTTGTTGGGAGAAAGACAAATCTGGAGGGATACATGGGACACAGAATCCCTATGGTAGCGTGCTATGATGGAGCACAGGGCAACGAGGTGTATTTGCTACCACAGTGCTCACTTAGGAGCTAGAGCACAATTTGAGCAAGCTACCCTTTGATTAATTCCACTGAGGGAAATCAAAATTAGTTATAACATTGAGAAAAGCCTACACACAAACTCCGCTAGATAACCAGACGCAAAACCAAATGTAACGGCTGTGCTGAAAACATTTCTGTGGTTGCGGTTTTTCTTATCCATTAACTTGCTGAGCTGCAACTGCTATTGTTGATTACGATGACAGTGATGATTACATTTTTATATGCTGCCTGCTCGAGTTTTGCCTTTGACTAGTCGTGTTTCAAGTCTTATACTTTTGGGTCCGGGGCCTGATCTGCCTTGTATACGGGTTATCATATCTGTACAGCCCTTTTCTACTCGTGAATGCTGAACCCCTTCTATTTAGTCTTGTATATCATTAGTTTTTAACCTCTTCTTTTTTTTTTCAACAGACCTCTATAAAAATAACTATCATTGTAAATGATGGGAATGACAATAAACCAATATTCCAGAAGGAACCTTATCTGACAGATGTCCTTGAGGTATCTAATGTCCACATTTTTTTCTGCTCAAGTTCATGCTAGAAAGGTTGTTTATTTGTGACTGTGTGTACCATACAAATAATCCTCAAGTTACAATGGTAATTGGGACCAAAATATCCAATGCTAAGTGATGCAATCATAAAACATGTCATTACATGATCACATTGCTTAATGGAGGCTATTCTGACAATCCCTGTTGCCATTGTTAATTGAATCCCACTGGCCGTTAGATGAAGACTCACACTGATCCAAGCTGTTCCCAGTTTAGCCCTCCCATCCTAATCCTTGGAAAAGTAAGGCCCTCCTTCCTTTACCTCTTCATCAAGTCCCCCCACCAGTGGTGGGATTCAAAATTTGTTACTACTGGTTCTGTGGGCATGGCTTGATGGGCATGACAAGGGAAGGCTACTGCAAAATCTCAATTCCCACCCTACTCCAGGGGAAGGATATTGTAAAATCCCATTCCCTCCCCACTTCACTAACCTGCTTTCCAGCTCCGTTCTCCTGTGCAGGGCAACAAAAGAAGACCCAGCCAATCAGCTGGGACTCGGGTGGCAGAGAATAGATGGGGGCAGGGCAAGTCACAGGTGGTATTTGCCAGTTCTCCGAACTACTCAAAATTTCCACTACCGGTTCTCCAGAACTGGTGAGAAGCTGCTGAATATCAATTATGCCCCCCTCCCATCTGTCCCTCCCCTCCATCTCTCCCCTGCTGGCTTTGCACTTAGTGCAGCCTACTGCCTTATCCAAACATAACATGGGGCTGTCTTGTGGAGTTTTGAAGCCTTCCAAAGCCATGCAAGAATTAGAAATGAAGATAGGGGAGATGGAGAGGTGGGATTAAGCATTCCTGGGATTATAAATGCAGGTGAGCTGCCAAATGTCAGAATTTTGATTACATCACCATGCATCTGCTACAATAGTTGTAACTTTGGGGACCAGACTAGAGGTGGTCTTCAGCAGGTTCTGACCAGTTCTGGAGAACCAGTAGAGGAAATTTTGAGTAGTTTGGAGAACCGGCAAATACCACCTCTGACTGGCCCCACCCCCATTATTCTCTGCCTCCCAAGTCCCAGCTGATCGGCTGGGTCTTCTTTTGTTGCCTGCACAGGAGAACGGAGCTGGAAAACAGGTTAGTGGGTTGGGGAGGGAATGGAGATTTTGCAGTATCCTTCCCCTGTCACACCCCACAAAGCCATGCCCACTAAGCCATGCCTACAGAACTGGTAGTAAAAAATTTTGAATCCCACCATTGGACCAGACATAACTACCATTCATTCAGCATCCCCATAACTTCTAAATTATCTCAAAAGAAATTATTGTTAACTGAAAATTATAAACATGCTAAATATTTTTTTAAAAAAATAAATCTGTACAATGATTGGCTATAGTTAGTCATGGGAACAATGGAGATCAGGGGTGTGTGTGTTTTGAAAATGAGTTCAAAGAAATGCTATAGAGCTCACCACAAGCATGAATACAGGACAGATAACAGATAATCAGAGTTGGAAGGGACCTTGTAGGTCATCTAGTCCATCCCCCTGCCCAAGCAGGAGACACTACACCATTTCTGATAAATGGCAGTCCAATCTCTTCTTGAAAGTATCAAGTGAGGACCTCCCTGCCACTTACTGAAGCAGCTTCTCTTGTATTCAATTTCTGTGGGAACTAAAAAAAAGGGATTAACTCCTCACAACTGCAAGGACATTATATCATTTGGATACCTATATTTGAGAAACAACTTCTGTATCCAACTCTGTCCATTTCGACCACACAATTTCATTCTTACTAAACTCCTTTCTAACATAGTACTGTATACGCTAGTCACTATGGCTACTGTTACAAACAAGGAATGAATGAAGGTACTTTGGGATGGGAATAAGAAAACTGAGGAAAAATTGCTGTTTTAAATAGGTATTCTAAGAACTTGTTGGATGAAACAAGTAATAATTTAAAATCTGCAGGAGATTTAGATGGTATTTATAGTAGATTACTTAAATAATAATAAAGCCTAAACTGGCAAAATGTTAAATCTGTGTTATGCAGCATGATCTGTATATTTAAAACATCTTAGACAGAAAGCTTCATTGCCATGTCAATGGCAACTCTCCCCCTCCCCCAGCCTAATTGCTATCAAAATAATGGATTTTTAATATGATTGCAGCCAATTAAAAACAGTTTAATTCTCTTTTCCCTATATATTGCAACCCCAATTGGTGCAAAATAATTAATTAAATAATAATTAATAAAGCTATACATTATTGTTTACACTGTAACTTAAACATAATGAATAATTAGGCTGTTTTCTTCAGACATTTTGATCTTGTCTCGTTCCTTAGATGTTACCTCAAGTTTACTTCAACATGTAGAATGGAAGCTTTTGCAGGTTAGACTAACTAAACCTGAATGCTCTTTAACAGTAATGAAATCAAGGAATAGAAAAAGTTGCTTGTTTTCTACAGCATCAGGACTGGATTGAGACACAGAATGAGATGTTAGCCCTTATGTGGTGCTTCTTATCTCCCAGAGAAATAGCCCCACTTTATTCAAGCTTCTGCCCGTCAGAGATAGTGGGCTGTAACTCTTCAATTGCCCTCCTGACTGAATTTTCGGTAGCTTCCAGTTCTTTGCATCTTCAGGACATCATGACTGGCATACTGTTCTGACCCAGGCTTCCTAAACAATAATTATGCACACACTTATTTTAAAACAAGACTTATTTTATTGCAACGTTGAGAATTGTTTTCATTCCCAGCCGGAATTAATCTCAAACAGTCCCCTGAGATAAGCACACACTTTTCAGTTCTGTGAAGTGCTGCTAAAAACAGAAGTATCAAATAAACTAGAAAAGAAACCAACTGAAGTACAAAAAAAAAACCACCAACCCAAGTACAAAGACGTTCCAGAATGACTCTGAACCGATCAAACTACTTTGCTTCCTGCAAAGGTTTCATCATCTTGGCCTGACCTTTATACCTTATGGTAGGGGCAATCACCTCCTAGCTTTACTCCCGAGTCACCCCTTTTGTTTCAGCTGCTCTTGCCTTCTAGCAGCTCTGTGCACACGCACACTGGGAACAGGCTCCCCTGAGTCCTATGCCTCACTGCTGCCAGACTCCGAAGGTTCCGAAGGCAGCACTCCACTCCCAGATGGTCCTGGCGGTTAGGAATGATAGTCACCTAACAGTTGGGTTGGAAATATATAAACCAGGATAGTCATTTAATACTGTATCTTTAAGAGAATGCTGTAATGGTGATTGGCTGAGGTTCCTCCAACAGCCATAAGATGGAGCATTTACTGAACTTTGTTTATGATACTTGACTTTGTTTTTGGATTATCCCTGGACTGATACTAACTGAACTTTGTTTATGATACTTGACTTTGTTTTTGGATTATCCCTGGACTGATACTAACTGCTTTAACCGTGTATGATTTGGACTGTTTGTTGGACTTTGTTTACCCGTTTACTGGAAGTAAAACCTACATTTTACTATTCAGTGTATTTATATGCTGGTCGTGTGTTATTCAACATCACTCTCACTACGTTTCCCTGAGTGCGCTCATTCTCCTAACGGGGAATACCTCAACACTGGCCCCATCTCTGCATCGGACGCAAGACCCTTGTTTGAGTCCTCTCCAGATTCCCTGACTGGTCCCAGTTTTCCCCACTGTCTGATTCCACTGCCGTCTGCATCGGCTGCCGGTGAATCACAACACATACATGGAAAAGGTTAAGGAAGAATGCCATAACTTCTAATTTTGTCATTGTTTTATTTTCTCTCAAATAACCAAGGGATTCACCTTATTAGATAATTTTTAATACGACTATGGTCTTTTCCAAGATAGTCAAGAGGAAGTACTTTGGACTTTACAACACCTCCTTCCTACTGATTAAAGCAGCCCAATTGCTTTAAAGTACTCAGTAATGGTGCCACTGTTTTAAAGAATGCACTAGTAGTTAATACAGCTCTTCAAGCAGTGGTATCTTTTTTGTCAGGTTCACTTTGTTTAATCAAAGCAGAAAAGTGTTGCGCTTGTGTGAGGTCCAAGGCAATTATTGAGAATAATTTTCAAAGCACGTGTGGTTCTGTTAATGGTTTGTATATTAGCTTTGGATGTTATATGTAGCTTCTATTGCTCTTCCTTCAACTCACTCCAACCTTCAAGCCTGCAAACTGATTTAACTCTCTTCCAGAACACACCAATTGGTACCCCAATCTATCATGTGAAAGCTGTGGATTTTGACAGTGAAAATGCTGGATGGGTATCCTATAAAATCATAGAGGTGAGTAGGACCCCCACAGTCACACTGAGGGGAGGATGCTGTACCCCTCATATGGTGAATCCTGGCAGATGCGAGGTGTGAGGTATGAACCATATTCAAGGTTGTCCATTGCTGGCATGATAATTCAAACCTGGCACTTTTGGGTAGGGTAATTTACACACCTACCTGTTTCTGGGCATCCAGCAACCCATTTCCATTGAGAAAAACTGTCAAACTCTAGATCACATTATAGGCATTTTATAAGCTGAGCGCATATCTGATCCAATATCTGATCTTTTTTTACATAAATGATGCTGCACTTCAGTGGTTAGATTACCTAGAGATTGGTATCTGAATATAGATTTTTTTAATATTCATATTTTTCTGTGTTTTTTAATCTAAGTGAAATGTTAATATATATTGCAAGTCCATGTATGATATGCCATATGCCAAATAGATAGATAGATGACACATAGATGGATAATAATGATGATGACGATAGATAGATAGATAGATAGATAGATAGATAGATAGATAAATAGATGATAGATAGATAGATAGATAGATAGATAGATAGATAGATAGATAGACAGACACAGACAGACAGACAGACAGACAGACAGACAGACAGACAGACAGAGATGATGGATGGATGGATGGAAGGATAGGATAGGATAGGATAGGATAGGATAGGATAGGATAGGATAGGATAGGACAGGACAGATAGATAGATAGATAGATAGATAGATAGATAGATGATAGGTAGATGATAGATAGATAGATAGATAGATAGATAGATGATAGATAGGTAGGTAGGTAGGTAGATGATAGATAGATAGATACCAGTAGATAGATGATTGATAGATGATAGATAGATAGATAGATAGATAGATAGATAGATGATAGATAGACAGATAGATGATAGATAGATAGATAAATGATGATAGATAGAGGATAGATAGATGATAGATAGATGATAGATAGATAGATAGATAGATAGATAGATAGATAGATAATAGATAGATAAATAGATAGATAGATATGGGTGGGTGGATGGATGGGTAGATGATAGATAAATAGAGATAAGTGAATGTTCTAATGCTGGCATTTTGAACATATTCTAAGTAATGTCTGTCCAATGGCAGAAGTTGCTTTATATCAAGGCCATTTAAAGACATCAGGTTAATTTACATAATCATAATGCAGAATTTTGATTAATATATATCTGTGAATTTGCATATTTGCATTAATAAAAATGGAATTAAAAATAAGATACATACAGTACAAGAATTTCAAAGGTTAGTTGGACACGAGAATGTGTGAAGGTATTTAAAAATTGTTACTTTTTAAAATTGTAAATGGAATCTAGACAAAACATATAGCTAGTTCTCATCTTTCAGCCACAGTTGGGATCAGAATTTCTCTTGCTAAGCGAGGCAGTTATTAAGTGAGTCCCACATAATTTTACACCCCTTTTTTGCCATGGTTCTTAAGCAAATCACTGCAAGTGCTAAATGAATCAGACAGTTAATATGTGAATCCAGCTTCCTCCTCCCCATTACTTTGCTTGTCGGAAGCCAGCTGGGTAGGTTAAAATGGTAATGGCATGAGCCTTGGTCACTGCAACCACTGTTACTAGATGTTGCTAGATAAGCTGAGAATTTAACTGACCACTGGAGAAGGTTATTTTACTGGTTGAGTCTGTTATAAATAGATATACTTCCCCCCACCATCAACTAATTTATAATATCTTCAGAACTTGCCACAAAGTCATCCTTGAGGAATGTGTATTTTATTCGAGGCAAAGTTTTGTGTTTTGTTTGTTACCGTTCATGTTTCTACCATGCAATTCCTTTACAGGTCATTCCAAACAATGCAGAGAATAATCAGCTTTTTTACATTCTGCAAAATGGCACCGTGGTGTTGAATGGCTCACTCAGTTACAACAATAAGAGCACTTTCTATCGAATCAAGATCTTTGCTACGGTGAGACATAGAAATAGTCAGAGGCAGGGAAGGGATGATAATATCATATCTGTGGAGAAGAAAAACTAGGTGCTTAATTGCCATGAATAAGGCACTGGGTATTGGTGTTCCAACAATTAGCCCATGAGTGTGCTAAGACTGCAACTCCTAGAATTCACATGTTGCTACATTTGTCTGATGAAAACTGAATAGGGGATTCCAGCATGAGTATTTCCCTCTCCATCTACGTCTTGAGCAGGTTTTATTTGTACCAGGACTAACAGTAGGGCAAGAACTAGATAGGATAATGTAGTATGGTTTGTTAAGCATTCTGTTGGCAATTCAGGTCCTAGATTAACCAAATCAGATTAGGAAACAGTGGAAAGGCACTGTTATAACTGAGACTGTCCTTCCTCCTCCTCCTCTGGATCTGCACCGTGCTCACCAGTAACCAAGCAGATGCCCAGAATGCAGAATCCTGAGGAGCTTTTCATCACCTGGAGCACACTGGGAAGGGCTCCTTCTTCCTTCAAAGCACTGATAACTGGATGCAGCAGTACAGGAGTTGTTAAAATCATCAATCTGGAGGAAGCCAAGGATGACATTGATCACATCAGCAGGAAATAATGGCTGTCAACCATTGTGATGTTCCTAATGTCAAAAAATATTGTAGCACCCATTTGAAAAGCAGAAAGTTGTGGATAATAATGGAATATTTAGGTAGGGGGTTGGCTCTGTGTTTGCTCTATGCTGGCCATTTGATGAATTCCAGACTTGTAGGATGCTAAAGGAGATCTTGAAAAATCTTCAACAACTTCAGAAAAAGTTTAGGAATGAGATGTACATTGTACATAACTATCTCTCTATCTGTACCTGCTTCAGTTTAAACGTTATTGCCATTTTGGGGGATTTTTAAATCTGTTAAAACTACGCAAACCGTTTCTTCTTTTTGGTCTTCCCTCTCCCCTCTCCTCCACCCCTCAGAACCTTTCACAGAGATAGATTCCCAATTATTATTATCTTGCATTGACTGGGGTGATTAAAAATGTAGGCCAACATATTTTTAGATATTGGATTGTGGAAGAGAGTTTGCTAGATTGTTTAGATATTGACAAACCTGTATAACAATTATATTTGGAAAACTTGGTTTATCTGGCAGATGCTGCATTTTAATTCAACTACATTTTAAGAGAAGTAATATCCTACATAAGATAAAGGTTTTAGAGAAACCATGTTTTTTTATAACATTATAGCCAAATGTCCAAATATATATTTTTTAAATTGTTTGGAGAGGAAAAGGGCAAGGAACAGAGAAGACCAATACATAAACGCTTTCACATAAAATCAATTAATTGTCCTTTCTAATTAAGTTACCTACCTGGATAGTCTTGTTAAGTAGGTCTGAGAAAGAGTATCTTTCAATTCTTGATTTAGATTATTCCAAGAGATGAATTGAGATGGATTCTTCCACATATAAAAGCTAGCAAAAGCCAACCTCTTAGATAATATTTTTCTACAAGGGTATAATAAGACCAAGTTCTAAAATCATTGATTTAGATAGGCAATCAAAAAACTGTTTTTAAAAAGCCTCCGTCACCCTCAGTTCTAAGTTTACTATTCAGAGCAATTAACCTATTACAGTTAGATACAGATCTAGAGCCTCTGTGGAGCAGTGGTTAGAATACAGTACCGCAGGCTACTTCTGCTACCTGCTGCCTGCCTGCAATTTGGCAGTTCAAATCCCACCAGGCTCAAGGTTGACTCAGTCCATCCTTCTGAGGTGGGTAAAATGATGACCCAGATTGTTGGGGGCAAAAATGATGACCCAGATTGTTGGGGGCAAAAATGATGATCCAGATTGTTGGGGACTGACTCTGTAAACTGCTTAGAGAGGGCTGTAAAGCACTATAAAACAGTATATAATTCTAAGTACTATTGCTATTGCTATTGCAACACTATGAAAGAAGATCTTTAGATCCAGGTATTTATTCAGAAAAAAAATCAGAAGAGGTGTTTTTCAAGAGTTTTTTTTTATGGAAATGCAATCTTCTAGATACTCTAGGTGTGTTTTCAGTTACATCAAAATACAGGGATTCATCACAGTACAAACATAGATAGGTAAAATGTCAATTCAAATGACTTATGGTTGCTTCTGTCTATTATAGGACAATGGAGGAATGTGGAACGGTTCTTTTATCAAGCAGAACAATACGGCGTATATATCTGTGACAGTTATTGATGTTCCAGATCTGGATCCAGGGTTTTTGGGAGAGCCATATGTGGCCTCAGTCTCAGAGAACTGCCCTCTGGTAAGAATTTTTTCACCTGTATACGACAAAACCCAACACCTTCCCTAGATACAGTAAAATTATCACCTTTTGTGTGTGTGTGTGTGTGTGTGTGTGTGTGTATGAATTTATATCCTCAGAATGAAGCTATGTCCATCCCTACAGCCTGAACACAGTAAGCAAGAACAGAATAGGATCATATCAATCAGTTAATCCCATAGAGTGGATTATGAGTGGTAGACATGATCTGGCCTCTTGAGTACCTTAATACTGCTACCAAACTGACCCTGGCTTTCAAATCGTAAAGTTCAAAATTTTCTACTAAATCCATTTGGGGGCTAAGCATAGTAAAATCACGAGATGGCATTGAATTAAAAATATAAACAGAGGCATTATATTGAAAGCCTACATAATTCAAATATATTTCCTTCTAAAATTCCTCAGTAGGTAGCTCCACAATTCCCATGGAGAAGATTCTGCTTTATCTTCTAGAGTGAGGAGATTTTTTTCCCCCTCCAAAATCAGAAATCATTGGCAGGTTGATTCAGAAAGTTGGTCGTTCCATTTTGGGCTGGCAAGCAATATATTTCCTTGTGAACAGCGAAGCAGTTTCCTGCATGAAATGTCTTTGCGTATTAGTAGCGCAGGTTGGTAGTTATGTTGTTTGTTTGAACTCTGAGCTTGGCAAGTTGGTTGCAAATGTTTCACCTCCATTCAAGGAGACATCTTCAGTGCACTTTGAATTGTACATAGTTGCAAGCACCTTAAGTCATGCATCATTGCAAGCACCATAAGAAGTTGTAGACAAGAGCCACATGAATTCCCACATGTGCTGCTAAACAGCTTTTTACCTTATATCTAAAGGGCTGTATACTACTACCTCATTTATCCTAGTCCTACATCATGCTAGTTTTCATTGGTGCATGGAAACTAGTGGAGTGCCAGTGGCATTAATCCAAATCTTATATAATGTACAGCTCATTTCGTGGTTGCTGAAGTTTTTAATCACTTTTACAGATAACTCATCAAAGCATGAATCACTATAGTCAGAATTTTATTCTCCAAGATAAATTGCAGCTGTCATATCAGACGAAGATATACAAATACCCCAGTCTTCTGTATATTGAGATCATCATCAGAGAAGCCAATGTATATTGATTTCCAATGACCGCCACATAGCATTTTTTTACTAAGCTGCGAAGTTCAGTATTGTAATATAACCCTGACAAGAGCAGCCTGTGAGGAAGAGGAGGATTTTTTAAAAAGAAAAGTGGATATTGTGACATCACATCTAAGATCTCATTTTAAAAAAGACAGAGGGAAGTTAATAGTTATAACAGGTGGTGAAATCCAGTTCTGTGTTCGTGAATCCCCATTTTGCCTCTGTGTCCTTTCCCTTGAGAACAAAACATGTTACAGGTGACAAATTCCTTGTGTCAAATCATGCTTGCCCAAACAATGTATTCATCTTCTACCAGTCACTTGGTTCCAGTATTTTTTTTAATATAATCCAAAGTAAACACACTGAATATATGCTTGATCTAATTCCTCTTCCTGCAAGTCAACCTGGTGACATCTTTAAGTTTTGAATGTCATCAATATTTGCTTCTAAAATGAATCTGAATGAAAGCACATAGTATATGATTTCATGCTGACAAAATGTTTTTTAAAAACCAGCCAGAGCAGATTTCTGAGTGCTTTTCCATTGCTTCTTGTCATAGACATAGACATGGAATAACTTTATTGTCACTTTGAATGTACACCAATTGGCATACATTAAAATGAAAATTCATTGCATACAGCTCTCAAACGGTCTCCACCTCCAATATACACTACATAAACATGACAAAATAAATAAAACACAAAATTATGCATATACCCACATACGTTATATGACACAGAGAAACAATACAGTCTAGGTCGGATGTATACATGTACATGTGGTGAGAGAAACAAATCTTGCACATTTACCAGATGGATGGCATAGGGAAGCTGTTATAGTCTGGAAGTCCTGCTAGAAATACTTCAAACCTCTTCCCAGAGGGGAGCAACAGAAACAGACCGTAAAGTGGGTATGCGGGTTCTCTAACAATGCTTTGAGCTCTAAGCACATAGCACTTATAAGCAGCATCCTGAATGAATTGTCTCCTGGAGACCAAGACAGAATTGCTTTTTTAGACACCTGAAATTATTTTCCTGATCAGCAATGATTTATCTAGAAGGTGGATCGCTTTATTTCCTTGTTGGAAGATGGCTTGTCTTTTATTTCCTTTTTATAAAGCTAGAACTGTGCACAGCTGCAAGAGTTGATGAACGCATTGGCAAATCAGGTTCTTTCTTTACATACTGCGGGGGTACAAAATAGGTTGTATCTTATTCAGGCTTTCTTCTTTCTAGGGCACTCCTGTAATGACAGTCCTGGCCATTGACAAGGACAAAGATGTGAATGATGTAATCCTTTACAGTGTCGTCAGTGAGTAGAGAGTCTGGGGAGGAGGGGTATCGGGTGTGCAGACAGTTTAGGATCCCTGTTGTCTACAACCATAAAATTAATTATGCATATGCCTCTAATTTTTAATTACTATATTGATACTTTATGTCTACAAAATGCGAAGCAACACCCTTATGCTTAGGAAATCATAGCTGATGTTCAGTCCTTTTCTGACACATTACAGCAGAAAGCCTGGCTCCTATCACATTCTTCCCAAGTTGTCTTCTTGGTTTCCTTTGCATTATAACTTTTCCTACAGTCCGATAATGTCTTCTATGTATATTGAACTTACGTTCTCACAGTCAGCTGTTTATCCATGCGACGGACAGTTCCAGAAATAGTCTCATCGCTTAATCTTGACCACGGGTGGGCTGCTGGGGGTTCGCAAGGTTCGGGAGAGCCCCTACCTAGCTAAGATTCTGTGCAGTTCGAAGAACACCCCGATGCCACTCCTGGCTGGCCCTACCCACCCCTCCCCTTCCCTCCCAGGAGTCCATTTTGGATGCAGGTAAGTGCAGGGTGCGTGAGGTGGCTTGGGGAGGGCAAAAAACAGGCCTCCTGGAAGTTTGGGAAGGCAAAAATGGCCTCCCTGGACTCCGGAGGCTCTCTGGAAGCCGGAAATGGGCCCATTTCTGGCTTCCAGAGAGCCTCTGGAATCCAGGGAGGCCGTTTTTGCCCTCCCAGAGGCTCAAAAAAAGCCTCTGAAGCCCGGGGAGAGAAACCCCCCCCCTCCTGCCATGGTGTAGGAGGCCAAGTAGGCCACGCCCACCATGGCCACGCCCACCAAGCAACCAGGCAGAGAACCCTTTGCTAAAATTTTTGAAGCCCACCCCTGATCTTCACTATGTGGGATGACTGCAATCTTAAACTTTTTCTTGCCTCTCCATCCCAAGAGTTGGAGGGAAAGGGTGTCAAAGGGCCTGGGTTGAGGTCCTATAACACACCAAGAGGTTAGAAAACTGTCCTTATACAAAAGATGCTTTTTTCATGAGCAAACTGTGCTTTCTTGTTTTTTCTTTGAAGACGTTTCGCTTCTCATCCAAGAAGCTTCTCCAGCTCTGATTGGATGGTGGGGAATGGAAGGATTTATATTCCTTGTAGACAGCTGGTCGTTTGCATCTTTTTAGAGGGTCGTTAAGGCCACTTGGAGGTTTATCTGTGTCCTCAGGGTCACCTGAGTACTGCTCCTGGTTCCTGTAGTCTGCAAGGAACATGAATCCTTCCATTCCCCACTATCCTGTCAGAGCTGAAGAAGCTTCTTGGATGAGAAGCAAAATGTCTTCAAAGAAAAAAACAAGAAAGTCCTGTTGCCTCAAGAAAAAAGCATCTTTGGGACAACCATGACCTGGATGACTGAGAATCTCTACAGCCTCTTACAAAAGCACACCCCTCTCTTCAAGTCCAAATTAAAAGTCGAACACAATGGCCATCCTTAGTGAAGGATTAACTTGTTCAACACTGCTGATAAGACACTTTTCTGATTCTCTCTCTCTCTAGATGCCAGCGGCCTCTTTACAGTGAACCAGTCCACAGGAGTCATCACTGTGAGTAGTAACCTGGACCGAGAAGGTGTGCCAGGTGAAGAGGTGCAATTTCAGATTGTTGTGAGTAGCAAAGCAGCCCTGGGAAAGGGTTGGTCTATGTCCTCCTCTACCCCTACTTTTTGTCAAAGGCCTGTCAGTATACGAAAATATTTTAGTATACAAAAGCATCAAATGACTAAACTAAGTAGACCTACTAAACTAAGCGATCTCTCTTGTTTCAATGGACAGGCTCAAGAAAAAAACTTGAACATTTACCATGAAGTGGCACAAGTGACCTCCCAGGTGACCATCCACATCAATGATGTCAACGATAACAAACCTCAGTTTTATTTGTGCACGGGTCCTCCCTGCAACTTCAAGGGCCCCACAGAGGTCAATTTTTCAGGTCAGATCGAGGAACATGCTTCCGCCAGAACACCTGTGACCAACCTCAGCATTGTAGCCTATGATCCTGACAAGGTGAGGGTTTGGGGATTTTGTTAGCTTTTGATCTTGCCTTTGCTTCAAATGCTCTAGGTGGGATTACATGGTGGACTCCTATAGTGTAGTTTATCCCCACAACAACCTCCCCTGCAAAGTAGATTGGGCTGACAGCCATCAACTGCCCCTTAGTCACTCCATGATTTTCCATGGCGGAGTGTGGAAACACCCTGGGTCTTTCCAATTCTAGCGTAACACTTTAAACTGCTACATAACAGTGGCTGAATTAGACATCTTCATGTAGTTCGTGCAAAGCTAGAGTAAAAAATATCAGTTCAGAACAAGGCTGGATGTGTTTCAATGGTGGGATTCAAATGTTTTACTACCGGTTCTGTGGGCGTGGCTTGGTGGGCGTGGCAGGGGAAGGATACCGTAAAATCTCCAGTCAGAGGTGGTATTTGCCGGTTCTCTGAACTACTCAAAATTTCCGCTACCGGTTCTCCAGAACGGGTCAGAACCTGCTGAAGACCACCTCTGATGTGATTGACCTTCTAGCAAAACCAGCCTGCTGCTTCATTCACTGAAAACTAGGAGTTTGAATTTGGACTAAAGGCAGATTTAAATTTTTTTGACCAACTAGAACGTAACAGAATTAGGCTAAGCAGCACTGGATCTCCTTGGTATTTGGATTGCAGACCGCCATGAAATAATTACGTTGTAGACTAAATTAGAAAGTTAAAAATTATTAAACCTTC